ACGTTGAAGTCTACAAGTCAAGAGTCAATGTAGAAATTGTAAAGGCCAAGGTCAAGATGTGTGCAACAGCTATCTCAGATCAGGTTCATTCCCACAGTGTCTAAAGAGCTCTTAGAAACCAGGAGAAGAGGCAACAATGCAATAGTGAGCAGACAGTTCACCGAAGTAATACTATGGACATCCAAAGCCATGAAATACTACTTAATATCTTAAGTTAAGGAAAAAGGGGGAAAGAATTTCAGATTGAAATCGTGAGAAAACCATGCCATGTTTCACTTGTCAAAGTAGCATAATTTCTTTTCCTTTTTAAAATAATATTCATTGCCGTCGAGGTGTATAAGTGATGAGATAAGAGTATAAACCAGAGGGGCACCTGGATGGCTTAGTCAGTTGAGCCTCCGACCCTTGATTTCGGCTATGGTCGTGATCTCAGGTCCTGATTCCGGGGTCCCACCTGCGGCTCTGCGCTCAGCAGGAAGTCTGCTTGGTATTCTTTCCCTCTGCCCCTCCCACAACTCGCATGTGTATGCGTACTTGCTCTCTTGCTCTCTCTCTCTCAAATAAGTAAGTCTTTAAAAAAAAAAAAAAAAGGTACAACCAGAAAGCCATTCTGGAAAACAGTGGGAGCCATATATCAAGAAGAACCTTACAAATATTAATATACATTGATCCAGTTCATTTCCTTTGACCCTTAAAATTTTGTTCATTGTTCTTTTAGAAATTTATTTTAAATAAAATATAGGTTATCAGTGAAAAAAATGGCAGAAAAACCCAACATTTAAGGAAAGGGTTAAGTAAGCTATGTGAGATTCATCAAATAGAATAATTTTCTGTCATTGAAAACCATGTTAATTAATAACTAATGACATCAGAAACATTTATAAAAGAACACTAATGAAAACATATTAATCAGAAAACAGATTAAGAAGCTGATTTCAGGGCACCTGGGTGGCTCAGTGGGTTAAAGCCTCTGCCTTTGGCTCAGGTCATGATCCCAGGGTCCTGAGATCGAGTCCCGCATCAGGCTCTCTGCTTAGCAGGGAGCCTGCTTCCTCCTCTCTCTCTCTCTGCCTGCCTCTCTGCCTACTTGTGATCTCTGTCTGTCAAATAAATAAATAAAATCTTAAAAAAAAAAAAAAAGAAGAAGCTGATTTCAAGGTATTAAAAACATATAAACATACAAATAAACCAAAAAATATATATAAATACCTAAAAGTTAACTGCAGTTACCTCTAGGTGATTTTTTAAATTTTTCCTTATTTCCCAAATTCTCAAAAAGGGGCATATTTTTTATACCTATAAATTTATGTATATAAGAATTGTATTATTAAGAAAACTTGCCTTATGCTTACAGCACAGTCAGATGACTTTTCATGTTTTATCATCAGCTAGGCAGTATAATTTGAGGCTTAAAATTAAGAATATTCCCCTGCAGTTAGGATCTCAAAGTGGAAAGGGATTCCATTTATCTAGTCCAGTGAATCCCAAACTTAAGTGTGTATCCAAATAACCTGAAAGGCTTTTAAAATACGGGTTGCTGGGTTTCTGATTCAGTAATTCTGGATGCATAAGAATCTGCCTTTCTGACAAGTTCCCAAGAGATGCTGATTCTGTTGGTGTAGGGACCATACCTGGAGAACAAATAATCTAGTCAAATTCCCTGACTTATCAATAAATCCCAGATTTCTCCTCCACCACTGGCAAACCCAACTGTCCAGCTATATCTGAAAGCCTCTGGTGGCAAGAAACCCTCTCGTGAAGCAGGGCATCCATCCAAAGAACTTAGACAGCAAAGACCTAAAAAGATTGTACAGGCGCTGTCCCATCTCCCCGAGGCTTGCTTTAAGCAGGAGTGTTCCCCAAATGACTTGGGAAGGGTCCACGCTTATAGTTACTGGCCATTTTGCGGGACATCATCAGAGTCATCTGCCCAGAGGGGGCAACGTTCAGGAAGGAGTCCCTCAGTCTATTGCTTCTCTTGGAGTAATAAAAATGTGTTGATTTGCCGGAAATGGCCCCCAAAACAAACTCAACACTCAGCACTAGTAAAATTTTAAAATGTACTCCATTCTAAAAGGGAAATTACATGCTGCAGTGGTTTTGTGAATTTTGAGCTATCACACAAGAGCCTATGAGGGTTCTCTCCCTCATAGAGCAGAGAACTAAGAAAATGGGGCTGCTATTCTCAGTGCTTGTTCCAGAATGTTGTAAATCTCTTGAAAGGTCTTTAAGAAAATCATAAAGACCTCAGTTAATTGCCTGACCAGCCCAATTAGCAGAGAAATTTGGGTTCTAATTACAAAGATATGGGATGTTGTCTTTCCATCAGGGGTTAAAAAGGCAAGCTCCACCATGTCCAGCTACCTCCTCCAATGGGCTCTGAACTAGTTAACCCACTAGTTAGCCTCTCCCAAATGGGGGAGAAGGGGATAAAAGACTGACATCTCTTTGACTCAAAAATATAATCTACTCCTTACCTTCAGTTACCTATAGCTCTGGACTCCATAAACCACATCAAAAGCTCATGTTAGCCAGCATCTCCAAACTCCTACCCCATCCCATCAAGACCTTTGTCAAAACTGCTGAAAAACCAAATGGGAGATCTGAATTTCACTTCCTCCTCTTTGCCCTGGAGGCGCTAACAAGCAAATAAATTGCTCAGCTAGAGAAAGAAAAAGGAGAAGTAAGGGTCTTCCATCATCCAAAAAAAAAACCAAAAAAAACAAAAAATGGGCTCTATCAGCGGGAAATGTAGGCAGTATATCAGCTGCCCCTGTCTGTCCCAAACATAGCCATCTCCACTACCAGGACATCCTTTCTCTCTCCTGGGTCGTGCTCATCCATCAGTACTTCCACGGCCCATGCTGTCAAAAGGCCGTGCGCTGGTTCAGGGAGTAGCGTCATGAAGAAGATGGAGTCTTTCCTCACAGGGGCTCTGGTGCCCAGGAATGAGAAAAGGCTCACCACAACACAAGGACATGTGCCACAAGTCACTCTAGTCCATTAGTGCTCAATCACATGACACAGACAAGCTCCGTCAGAGTCCCTCGTCTATGCCTTACTTCTGTGAATTCTGGAATAAACATAATGCCCATGATAAGGCCCATAACACAAAATGGTACTTGATATATTCTTGGTTTGCTCTTCTGGGGACTGCCACAAAACAGAAAGATGTCCTCCCCTTCTGGAGGTCCTGGGTGGTGAAAACCAACATTAAGAGCCATTTGCAGCTTCCATCACCCAAGTTATGCTAATTCTCCACAATGTCTTTTGGTTTATCCTTCTCTTTCCATATCCTGAGAACTTCTAAATTTAAACCTGGCTCGCCGTAGTACCCTTTTAGCCAGAGTCTCCCCCACTCCAACTTACCCTGACAAGAGCTGTGGAATAATTTCCCTGGAACTCTTTTCTTCATCATGTCTTTATTCTCCAATTTAAAAGTTATCATGGCTCCCCATGACCTCATATTAAACCCGGCCTCTGCCATCTTCCCTTGAAAACCCTAGACTAACCACCCCACCTGCATCCCTGACCTCATCTCTCATCCTTTGCCCTGAACCCAACCAGTTCATATGTGGCCCTTCCACCTGGTGCCTTCCCTTTCTCTTTTCACCAGTACATCTCCTTCCCTTCCTTTTAGCTCTTAAAACTCTTCCTCAGTTGCTCCATTCAGACTCTTCTCCTTCCTTACCTAACTTCTTTTTGACCCCACTTGGTTTATCCCTATATTAATTCAAACTTGTGGATGGGTCTCTCTCTTCAAGAGTTCCTCTTTGGTTCTCTGTGGCCACACTGCCATTTCCAATGACATAGAAACCACGAGAATGAGCTCATAGATGGCTTCTCTTGACATAAATCTTTCTCCTTCACCTCCAGTGTAAGATAACAATTACTCAACTAACCATTACATTCCATTTCACAGTTCACAGCAGGCTTTCATGGACAGCCTTCCATTGGATCTTCACAACAACTTTGTGAGGAAAACAGGACAGATGTTACTACCCTCATTTTACAGTTCAGCAAGCATGGCTTTGAAGGTTAAATGATTCGTCCAGAGTCTCACAGCAAAGAAGCAGGAGATCAGGGACCCAAACCCAGTTCCTTGAATCCTGAGTGCCTTGCTCCCACATCATCTTCCTACTCTGGACATGTGTCACACTTGATAAATGCTGATGGACTGATAATGCAGACTAGTAATGTGCAGTGTCATCAGGCCACATTCAAACAGGGATTTAGCATTCTGAAGCCATGCCCTGAGGATACGTTTGGGAAGAAAGACAAAAATGAGAATTCACCAGTGTCTTTCACTTCCAACTGACTTAAAGTCTGTAGGAGAAAAAAAACTCGTAAAACCTAAAATTAAAAAAAGAAGAAGAAGAAGAAGCGTTTAAAAAGAAAGTTGGTTTTTTCCTGGAAAGCTAAGAAAAGAGGAAACACCTAAGGGACTCACTTGAAACCTTCCACATGATGTGGCTCGGGTCAGATGTCAGACTAAAGCCTCTAGGTTGACTTGAAGTTGACTGGCTAATATCTGTGCACCGCCTGGTGCAGTGGAAGTGAGGAGTCTAAGAGCTAGACTGTAGCTGTTCTTCCCTCTCTGTGGGACCTTAGGCTAATCCAAGGCTCATTTAGAGCCTTGGGCCTCCATTCCTTTATCTGTCCTGCAGAGAGGTTGAATGAGATGGTCCCTGAGATCTCCTCCGGCTGTGACATTTTGAGAATCTATGAATAGCAAGGACACAAGACAGGTGCGAGCTGATCACCACGTGGGAAGCTCACACCTGTCTCTCCCCAGTGTTTCCGCCCCTCACTTCCAGCAGTGCCAAACTCCAGGCCCAGTTAGGGTCCAGTTGCCAATTTTGAAGCTGTTCAAGGACAGTCGTCCTTCTGCATGGGGCTCCTTCCAACCCAAAGCTAGCCTTCCTTCCATCCTCTGCAACTCCCTCGTAAGTTACTGGGATTTGCATGCCACTAATTCATTTATGCCTCTTTGCTTTTAGATTAAAATTACTCACAAGAATCAAGCGCCTATGATGATGGGCCCTCCCCAGAAGAGCAGCTTCTTTTCACTGAGGAGGAAGAGCCGTTCAAAAGACTAAACAATACGCCAAATGCCAGTTAAACCAAGAGAGAAAACAAGAGACTGTAACACACACAAACACACACACACACACGCACACACATGCACACAGGCACACTCATCTCTAACCAGTGGAAGCAAAGCCACCCATCAGGAAGAAATCTTCATCTTGCCCTACATTCTCTCTGCTTCAACAATGGACACACCCCAACAGAGCCAGCACCATCAGAAAATTCTGAATGGACTTAGGGCCCACCAGGGTGTGGTTGGCTCATACGGCAACCTCCACATTCCCAGAAGGCCATGAGTGGGACTTTCTGAGACTGAAGGAGAAATCCCCCTTTCTTCCCACCAGTCCTGCAAGTTCCCTCATGGACGCTCGTAAGAAGTAGGCTGCAGGTTTCCTGCCTATGTTGAGATCGGATGCGGCCAAGGGAAAGAGCTCCCATTCCAGAGAATTTACACAAAGGTCCCTCTGTACGGAGACAGACGGCCTCCAGCTCTCAGAGCATAACCCTTGGCAGGGCTCAGCAAGCTCACGTTGGTTTCTTAGTCGTCCTTCAAGCGGCAACTTCTCCCTGAACTTGCTGAGGAGGCAGAAAGGCTGTGGAAAGCTGTGTTTCCATTCTTGGTTCTCCACACTGTCAGTGGGCACTTGTTATTTTCCCAAAGCTTTCTCCTGGTGGCTGTGTGTTTGTTTAGAGACGGCTCCAAGAGCCCCCAGAGCTGCCTTCACAGCACACCTTAGATGTGGTATTTATTTTCTTAGTTCTGTGAACACCTGGGAGGGAAAGCAGAGAAACTGGGATTTATTTTTCAAATTGGTGTCATAATATTGTGTAAAAAGGGAAGAAAAAAAAAAAAAACACCCCCAGTTTCTTTCTTTTTCAAGCCAAAACGTGTTTCCTGTTTGAGTTCCAACCAAGCCCTGGTGGCAGACTATTCCTGAAGGCAGAGAAGAGGATAAGGAAGGGCCTTTTGCTCAGAAGACCAGGAGACAAACCATCAGGTGGTTCCCACCTGCCTCTTTGTACCTATGACTCCCAGAGCCTGGCCTGAGGGCTCTTCTGATGGTCTTATGTGTGTACATATATGTAGCATATATATATTTAATGACGGACTTTTCCTGATTGGGGGGAAAAATATTTGTAGACTAGGAACAGAAAAAGAAAAAGAAAAAGAAGGTTTTTACTCCCCCATTCCACCATTTCATTGTTAAGACACATTTCCCCATGGCGATCATGAGACTTAAGGGAAATGAAAGTAGCTCCTTATCATAAAGAGACTGAGAATTCCTATTCTGGATTCTCAAAACAGCCATGAAAGATATGCTGTACAGAATTTACTCTCCCAATTGCCAGAGATAGCAAGTCTCAGGAAAGTTAAGAGACTTGTCCATGGTATCTTAACTAATGTGGTTTGGGAGTAGGTGCCACTAAGAGAATATTTATTAGAGGAAAGAACCCACACATCTTAGAATAGGGTCATTTCTGGTCACGGAGAAATTATTCCATTTGAATCCAGGTTTCCAGGGAAGAGTGAATGTGTAGCACATGTGTGGATGGGATAGGCCCACACAAGGAAATGAGTGCCGCATGATGCTTCCCAGAGATGCTCTCTGGCCTGAACTGGTAAGAAGTTGGTCTGGATTGAAGGCACTAGACAGATCATGAGATTAAACTCTCCACATGTCAACTCATCGTGGTCATGATGGCCTCTTAGTCTGGAAATGCCTCTGGCTGTAGGGATGACCTCAGTTGGAGACTCGCGAGAAGGACCAAGGCACCTTCTGCAAGGTGCTACCAGCCAGTTCCCAGAGGGGTCCCAGCAGAGCTCAGTGGGCTTCATGCAGTTGGTGCCAGCATTATCCTCCTTTCCCCAAGGGCAAGTCTGTGTAGAGCATTTGCCTTGGCACCTTTGCTCCATTGGACTTCCATCCCCTCTGAGTTGTCTTAAGAGGACACGTGGCCCCACTCAACATCACTCCACTGAACTCTCTCTAATCTCCTTGCACTGAGTCAGGAGCTTCGCACAAGGAAGGGAAATTAAGATTGTGTGTACACACCGATCCTAACTCTGAAGGAAGCAATCATCTAGGATCACCCTGCTGGATGCAACAGTGCGAAATAGTGGGTGAGGGGACAACCAGGCCACCTGAAGAATGTCTTGAATGATGGGATCCTTGGTGACGGGACGGACCAGCATGCTCCAGAATAACAACAGGTACTATCTTGGAAGCCACTTGACTTTGAAACAGAGGCAGATTCGGATTTGAGGTCACTGATTCGGAGATATTTACAACAGTTTTTTGTGTGTTTCGACCCTGATCCCCCAAGATTGAGGCTGTTGAGACATGGCACTGTGGACAGGTGAAACTGAGTCTCAGAGTGGCCCCTGCCTGTTCTAGTCTGGTGCCCAGGACTTGGAGTGTTGCCTGAGAGACATGTCGCAAGGCCCCCCTAGAGCCACAGAGTATAACAAGGCAGTGGAATAGTACTTCCAGTTGGTAACCTCAGTAAGTCTAGTGTTGTTGTTTAGTGTGCTATCGCAACTCATCCCTTAACTACTGTGACTGTGGTTTCTTCTGGCAGAGTACTTCACCACAGTGGGCCTCCCAGCAATCTCAGAGGTTGGTGGAGAAGGTACTAATATCCCGATGTTAATAATGAGACGGTGAAGCTTAATGAGGGTTCGGTGACTTCTCAAAGTCACACAGGAAATCAGGGCAGAATCCAGTCCCTTAGTCTTCATCCTGTTCTGATTGTAACCATGCCACAGACTTGTTCCCACCCACCCCCACGGCTCTACCCCACCAGCAATAAAAATAATGAAACAGAAAGTCTTCAATACATTGTGTTGCCCCTGGACTATTCAGCTGAGAGTTGCATCTCATTATGGCTTGGTCTTTGTGGATTTCCTCCAATGAGTTGAGAATGGAGATAGGCTTAGTAGAATGATTATATTTCAGGTCAGAGACCAGCTCCTCTCAAGATAGTTCTTTCCACAGATGGAAAAGATATGTTAAAATTGCCAAATAAATTAGGAAATACTTGGCAGAATCTGGAAGAGCCTCCAGACTGGCGTTACATAACATGCATATACATTATACATATGCACATTATATAAGGTGACATAGTACTTAATGTGCTGTATATATTATGCAAATTACATATTTGTGAGTAATCATGATAAATATAGAGACCCACTAATCACTTTTTTACACATACTCAGTGACAGATTAGGAAGTTACTTTGCCAGAGAGTCTTAAAACTTACTCTCTCCTGCTGCTTTGGTTCCAATTCCTGACAAAAATAATTGCATCAACTTCTCCCATCTCTAGCCCCCTCTCCTCTTGGCCAAAATCCTCAGTTACCTCCTGTCCCAGCTAGGTTGTACCTTCCGTGGAACACACCACAATTGTGTTCATAAAAATAGAATCATGGGGTTGGGAAGGATCTAGACTTCCAGATTCCCCTACGTCCCAGGCCTGCACCTTAACATCCCTAGTCAAGTGGGTGCCTCATGTTAATATCAAGGGGAGAGGGAAGGAAGAGTCTACCAACCCTCCAAGGAAAGAAACTTCATAGTGTTCCTTGGCCACCAGTTTCCAGGATCCAACAATAACCAATCAGGAAGTTATTTCAAATGTCTAAGTCTCCACAGCATATCTGAGACCATAATTTCCTAAGACATGTTTCACAAAATGCTAGTAGCCATAAAATGCTCCATGAAAACAGAGCTATTTGATCAAGTACTAGCTCCCTTTCTAGGAGAGACATAGAAAGACTTAACTCTAAGAATTCACAGTAAAGAATTATAGGGCCCTTTATTTGTTTGCCAACATTTATAGATTAGAAATACTACTTTATGCCCACCATAAAGTAGTTCTTTTTGTTCTCAGTAAAGACAGGGACACACAAGTAATCATCCTTAGCAATAATGTTCCAAAAAGTACTTCTCTAGGACAAGGAGTCTCCAGTCTTAAGACACTCTTTATTTTCTTCTAAGTGACTATTTAACTATTTTTATTTTTCCCCTCTACATGCCTTAAAGCAAGAATTAAGATTCTGGACTCTTTGCCCCCTGGGGGTTTGGGGTGGGGAAGGAGGGATTGGGGACACTTCATAGCTGCCGGGGGTCAGACTTCATCTGTGTAGCTCCATAGAACAGAACCAGGTCTAAACAGCACAGTTCTAGAGAGGTTGATTTGTATTCAATGTAATGCCTGCTTTTTGAACTGGCCAAATAGGGAAGGGGTTGCCTTCCAGGGGAGTGAACAGTTATCCGCTCTTAGGGAAAGGGTCTTGACCTGGTTGGGTGGGGAACAAGCAATGATCAATCTACCTTGTCCAACAAGCTATGGAAACTGTTTTTGTCAGCAATAATGTTAAATCAATATCTGTTACTTCCTTTTGAAAGAGTTACCTCAGTATCCCCTGTTTTCTGAAAGAATGAAAATGACTCCCAGAGACATTTCTGGATCAGTGGGTACTAACCAGATAAACCACACCTAATACATGGCAGGGTTGACCAGAATCGTTGACATCCTCCACAGACAGCTAGTGGTGGTGATCTCCCCTCAGTAGCTTAGAGAGTTAAAGGAATGAGGTTGAGTATTTAGACAAAAAGAGGTCCTGCCTTTCTATTGGGGTCCATATTGTCAGTGTGGAACTCTTCTAGTCACAAATATCAGACCTGCATCTGGTTTGCAATAACAAGGAAAAAGAAACCATCCCACATCTCAAATATCAATCAAGTTTTAGATAAAACAAGAGAGCAGAATTGTATAGAATTTCACATGGAGCCATTGTTTGTAGCTCACCTTGATGTCCCATCATGCTGGAGTGTATCTTTCAACTTTCTGCTACAGAGAGAAAACAGGAAAAGGATACAGGAAATGGAATTCCCATTTATTGCTTACTGGATACAAGGCACCATGTCAAGGTCTTTTCATGTGCTGTCCCATTTAATCCTCAGAACAGCCTATGATATGGGCATTGTACTTATTTCACAGATAAAGGAATTAGTGCATTGAAAGGTGAAGTACCTTGTCCAAGGTCAAAAAGATAGTAAGTAGTAACAGCTAAGACTTGACATGGATTTGTCTCACCAGAAATGAATGCTTTTACTACTATACTTCAGTGCTTTTAACATTCTCGTCCGTTCCCAACCCTACTATCATTCTGGGTGAGGTTACATGGCGCTGGCAAATTGATCTATCAGGTCTACCTCTGTATAGCCATCTAATCACGTTCCTTCTAAAGAACTTCCAGTGCTTGTTCATATTTAAACTCAACAGCCTCCATGGACAGCTGGAACC